GGGTTTGAGGGAGCAGAGAGCTCAGTAAGGAGAACTGGCATCTAGAAACTTGTGTATCTGAGAAATAGATTAAGAACTTGAAATGAAGAAAACAGACACAATTAAAATTTCAGTTCTGCTATAGCTTATCCCAGACCTGCCTCATATTCCACAACTTTTCTTTGCACCTAAGACTCTTGGACAGTCAAACTATGCAATTAAAAGAGCATTTACAAACTGGGCCACACATTTTTGCTACTAGCCTTAAACAGAAGCTCAGACATCTGGAAGAATTAATGTCCCCTCCCAGTAAATCCCTATCCCCAAAGAATGGCTGAATGGGACAGAAATGTATACAGTACAATGAGCTTCCTTTCTGTTTTTCCCTTCTCACAAGATGATAGTAAGGGAACATTTGAAAATAATAACATGAATTGGCAGTTGGAATTCACCATGTTCAAGGTACAGATTCAAGCTTGGATAATTAGCCTTGCTTTAAAAAAAATTAAAATGGTGAAAAATTCATTTGAAAGACACAGATTTGGGAAATAAAAAATATATATAAATCTAGATTAAATCAGAATAGGGCAGAAATTAAAGAACTCAAAATAAGTATATTTTTACTTGCATGAGTAAACCTTAATACACTCACACCCATCAAGCTCAATTTGAGAAACTGTTAGAAAAGGTTGTCATCTGGGAACCTGACTCCTAAGAAATGACTTACAGCATTGCCACAAAAATCAAGCACCCTTTTGAAGCTTTAGAAACACTTCCATCTTTAAAATATCATTTTTAGCCTCCTTTATTTTCATGATGGAAAACGTCAACACTAATTTTGCTTCCAACCACTGTTCCTTTGGCAACTAGCACATGTAAAGACAGATTATTAATTTCTGTACCCTCACTTTAGAACATTTTAATAATTTAGTCAATATCAATGTTTATTAAAGTTACATTTTATATTTAAAACATTAATACCCTAAATAATGGTGGAGTAAGTCTCTACCAGAAAATAATTTTTTTGAATGACTGAAATATATTGTGCTCCAAAAAACTGCCATCCTGTAATTATATTATGAACAGAATGTATCTGAAGAAGTGCTAAAAAAGCTGGATTGAAAGAGTAAGGGGGTGGAAAGTAAAAACATGTTTACAATCTGTTCAAATTCTCAACCTAAAATTTTTGATATAAATCTGTTAGAGCAACGGTTTCAATACAGAACTTAGTTTCTAAGATAAGTTGCTAAACATGTAAAAATAAAATTGTTAATGTTAAGTTCTAGCTTTCTTCCAACTCTGAGTACACCAATACAGGACCTCTGACCTACCCTGTTGAGTTACTTTCACCTATAAGCAATTGCTCCGAACTTCTATCCATGACCAGATGCCACCACAGAGACCATGACATTTGGTATCACAGGTCCCCAGTATGCAGTGGCATGTGCATATGGTCACTGCACTTACTCTTCTACAGAAGTTTTACAGAAGGTGTGCATAGACAGCTCTGTGAAGGTCACACCACCTACTCTCTGTGGATTGTGTATGATAAATTCAGTATGGGTGTCTATGTTAAATTCGGTAAATGGCTATTACAATGTAAGCTGAATTTCACACCCTTAGAATGGAACAGACCTCCATCTACCCGCTATGGAGAATAAATCACAAATTTGCTATTGGGAAGAAAGAATGTAAAGATGGATCCTATCCATTAAATCAAAGATCTCAAAATTAAAAGTGGCAACTGACTCTTGGAATAGATGAAATACCAAAATGAATGGAATCATTCGAACATAGGAAGAATTCAAACTACTACTTCCTGTAATGTAAAATAAATCAGTTAGAAAATTAAAGCATATGTAAGTATATATAATTACAGACATATAAAGTGTACTCTGGTTTTGTTTCACTTTCGAAAAGTTAAACTGTAAGTCTCAAATTGCTGGAAAATAGTTTTATTTAAGGGCCTGAATTATTGAAGTCATCTACTAGCAACTTCTGCTATCATTCTCAACACACAACTCTCCCAGGTTGCACACACCCACTCCATATTTACTCTCTCCACACACTAACAAAAAGCACCCCAAGTTCACCAGCACATAGGATAATATCAACTATCCATTCCTGTTTGCTCTCAGTATGGCACGGTTACATTGCACTTGCAATGAGGCCAATGACGGCTCTATACACTGTTAGGTGCAACCTAAGTAGCTGAATAATGACAGACCATTTAAAATAATCAGAGCTTGACAAATGCTGGTTCAAGTGAATGTATAGATGAGCAAAATAATCTCAAAGTATTTATACACATTACCATATGCTCAGATAAATCACAATAAGCCTTCACATTAAAATAGATAATAAGCCAGGCGCGGTAGCGCACACCTATAATCCCAGCAGCTCAGGAGCGGGAGGCAGGAGGATCATGGATTCAAAGCCAGCCTCAGCAATTTAGCGAGGTGCTAGGAAACTCAGTGAGACCCTTTCTCTAATTAAAAAAAAAAAAAAAATACAAAATAAGGCTAGAGATTTAGCTCAGTGGTTGAGTGCCCGAGTTCAATCCCTGATACACCCCCCAAAAAACAAAAGAAAATAGATAATAAACATAACACAAAAATGGAGCAATTACTATATATCTACAAGTAGTTGCATTCTAAGAGTGTGTCAAAAGTCTGTCACTGTCAGTATCCTTCATTTCCACATGGCTATCTTGCTGGCAAAGAGGATTCAAGTATGGAATTCTAAGCCAGTTTCTCAACTCCAGCATTATCAGAAAAATTCTTCATTATTGAGACTGTCCTTTGCACTCAAGGGTATTTAGCATCATCCCTGACCCGGTGGATGCCTGTGGCACCCCTCCCCAGCTATGACGACTAAAAGTGTCTCCAAACATTGCCAAGTGTCCCCAAGGAGGCAAAACAGCCTCCCATTGAGAAGTACTGAAGTAATTAAGTGCTTTAATCTAGAATAATAATAGGACAATATTTGACCTATAGGAGCCTCCACATAAGAACAAAAACTAAAAACTACAAAGCATTACTATTCAGTAAGCAATTATTTGCTTTCCTTTAAACCTGCTTCCTTTAATAAAAATGCTGTCTCAGGGCATAAGAGTTTAGCCAACATTTTTAAAGAAGTCATTTGCCAGCTTTCTTGTGTCTCAGCTGGGAGGCTCCAGGGCTCTGGAAATGGCAGACCCAGAGCCAACCAGTCGTCCCTTCATCCCAATGATCAGGGGAAAAGTTCTTACTCAAAGTTCTCACTCAGGCATCCTTGCTGGAAAGACTGAGGCACACCTTGCTTTGATAGACTTGTGGTTTCCACTGAAACAAGTTATTCTGCATACTTCTTACTACAGCTGTAAATACGTGACCTCTCGGTTTCACTTCGCCAGTAATTTAATTTCATTAAAGGCTGAACCCAGATACTGATTTTTCTTAAACATTTCAGACCCAATAGCTCCTGAAATAAGCTCCCAGAAAGYTTGGTACATAGCACACTTGAAATTAGGAACCAACAAACATGTTTTGCCTATTCCTTAGCCTACTCAAATATAAGATGCAGAGTTTCAAAACAATAGGATTTCAGGGGAAAGCAATCTTATTCTTAATTGACACCAACAACTCAAGCAAAAGATGATTTTTGGATCTAAAGTTTCTCTGCCTTTCAGCTGTGAAAGAATATGCTGATTAGGAAAAATAGAACAAATGCATTAAGAAATTTTTTTTCATGGATATTAAACACAACCTCATATACTACAGAAGGAAACATTTCAGTAATAAAACTTAGGATCTCAACTACCTTTCAATTAAATCAAAACTGCAAACTCTTCCCTGACATGCACATAGCGCTGCCATAGAATCAGAAAAACATTCAACAGATACAGAAGCAGGTATGYTTGAAACTGTTCATTTAAAAATATGTATTGTTAGACTTTAAAAACTAATGCTACCTGAGATTTTAGATTGTACTATTAGAAGACACTATATAYGATCAAAAATATTTATGTAGTTATTTTCCTTCATTTAAAAAAAAATGGCCATATTTAAGATTTTTATACTCAGTTTTTAATGAACACTGAAGCCACTATCCAGAGACTATTAACTACATAAACTAAATCTTTGTCTAAATCGGTATAAACTGATTTTTTTTTTACTTTTATTATGTCTACAGATAGAACATATTTCCTCACTTGGAAAAATGTTAGTTAGGCTTGAGAGCCCTGGTATGGAGGTAGTTATCATTAAAAAATTAAACAATTTTCCTGTCACATTTATCTGGCAATATGAGTTTACTACTGATTTCTTGAAAGCAAATTAAATTCATAGAAAAACAATCTCAGAAGAGCTTAAAATCAGAGTTCCTGAAACCATACACTCACACATGAACACCATTTTGCACCTAAATTTCAAGAGTATACCTACAGACATGCTTTCAAGCCCACTTTGGCTTTCTTGTCCAAACTACTGAAAAAGTGAGAAACAGTTCATTTAAAAAAAAAAAAAAAAAGCAACAACTGACAAGGTCACTGGCATTACATGTTGGTCTCAGGCACTTCTGCCTTCCAAATACTAATAAGGTTTTTTTTCACCACTGTCCTACTCTAATTTTTTATGTTAACATAAAATTTTTATGTATCTTAATTCCTAATACAGGAAAAACTATCTTAAAATAATTATTTTTACTGTGTGAACTATAACATGATCTCTAAATACACTTGATAAATATAAAGAATATGCCCCACATAAGCAACCAAACACTACCACATTGGACAAGTATTAAAATATGAACTACCACTTTGATCAGTACAGAGATTTACAATAAGTCTATGAAATGCTACCAATTACAGACAACTTCACATTCACAGTCCCTGAGCCATTTTTTAAATAGTCTAATCTGGAATGAGAACACAGGAAGACAGAGAAGAACAAATTTTCAGTAATCACAAGCTCTCAGCAATTATTTCACTTAAGCTGCAAGCCCTAGTTTAAAAAAATATATAACAAACCAATGAAACTTACTTGACAGTGACTCGATTAGATAAATCCTGTAGATCCCCAGGATGGAAAAGCTGGGCTTCTTTCAATCCAATCTGTTCACAAGCTTTCAAAAATACGTTTATATTATCCTGTGAAAAGAATTGGAAAGTGAATGCTTAGCCGAGCTCGTTCTCAAAGGTTACAAATTTTTATGATACAACTTCCCAGCTTCAAAGTCCAATTACAGTCAGCAAAAGAGACGGCAGCAAGACCCATCCAAACATATATCAGGAAAAAAAATACATGGGCACAAATAGCCTTTCAGTCTTCCAGAGCATAAAAGGCAGTGCTATCTTATGTGCAAGCATACACTGCTTCTGTGATCTTTGTGACTGGCACGTTAAACATTACCTGTTATAGGACAAGTGCCTAGCCACTAAGCAGTAATCTACACTTTGATGTCAGCTCTGCTCTGCAAACAAACGCCCTCTTCCCAGCTTCGCACGACAAGCCTCACCTCTCCTCTTTAAAAATAACTCCAGCTACTGACATTCACCCACCCAGAAACTGTTGGCAAGGAAGAAATAAGAGGAGGAACGTTCTGTTTCTATGATTACAAATTACAGAATGACTGTGGAATACCACACCTGGAATCTGGGTTTGGTTGCCGAGCCAGCTCTTGACGGACAGGGAAACCATGYTATAAGACCAAGGAGAAGCCTGGTGCTCATTGGCTAAATCACACAGTTTAGGAGTGGCACATTATTCATTCCCTGCACCTGTTTAAAGAGCTGCCTCCAAAAAAAGAAAGAGAAAGAAAATCTATCCAAGGCTCTCCTCATATCTAATTTCAAAACCCAAACCCTTCACTCACAAACCAATGCTTCTCATTAATGTAAACTGCTGTACAAACATGGACTACTACGTATCCTATTTTACAATCAGCTGCATTTCAACCACACACATTTGGTTACCAAAATTAGTTTGGGCTTCATCTCTACTATTCTTAACAAAGATGTAATGTTTTGAACAACTAATAATAAAAAAATTAATTAATTAATTAATTAAAAAAAAGAAAGCACTTTGTGGGGCCGATGTGGGATGATCCTATGTAAGCTCTTGGTCTTTGCTTTGTCAGGGATTTGGGGTACAGGAGTGTTCCCCTCACCAGACAACACTTATTGCTGGTCTACTTCAGCATGCAGGCAACACCTCCTCTAAGCTATCTGCCTCCCTGAAACCTCACCTCCCTCCCCAGGAGTTCAGGGACCAGAAGACACTCATTCCCACAGTAAGGAAAGTAGGAATGGTGTGGCCAAGGGAGAGGGAATGATTAGAAAAAGAAAGGAGAGATAAGAAGCAAACTGAACAGCTTGGGTTCCTGGAGAATGAGGGGAGTTAGGGAAAGTGCAGGAGGAGGGGTGACAAGAGAAAAGCAATGCTGCTGGCTAGAGAAGTAAGGGGCATCATAAATCAATCTCTATTCATAGAGGTGGTAGATCACTCTAGTATGTTCTTAGTAAAAGACACTGCAAACTACCTAGCTAGAATTTGAAATCCATGAATCATTTTAAATAAGATGATTCCAAAGATTAAAAAAAAAATTAAGTCAAAAGTTGAGTAACTCAATGAGAGGCACTGAATGTGACTTTAATTTGACTTTATGTAGAAAAAAAGAAGAAATAATTTATTGGAAAAATTCCAGGAGAAACAAAAGGTAATTGTAGTGTTGAATACACAATTTCTAGAAACTATACTATCTGTAATTACCAGATGATACATGATTATGGTATAAAACTGGCCACTGAGGAGCAGACGAAAACAAATAGTTTGGTTCACCAATACTCCAAATTCTACAGGAAACAATTTCATATAATAAATGGGAAAATAAACTGATAGAAGACTTCCCACCAACTTAATTTGGCTCTGAATGTTTAAGGTATTATAAACTATTGGGCTGGGGATGTACTTCAGTGGTAGAGCACCTGTCTAGCGTGTGCAAGGCTTTAGCACAGCAAAAAAARAAAAAAMAAACTTTGTTTTAACTAACATATTATAATACTTTAAACTCAAAGTAAACTTATGGAACTTCAAGTCAAAACAATTCTTCACATATTTTATAGAAGTATTATCAACATTCATCTAGTTGACAATATGTACAGGTTGATAAGGACAAATAAAGCCACACATTCCTCAAAACCCATCTAAGTCTTTAAGGAGAAACCACTTAAAATCTAAAGTGACTACACCTCGAGACAATATTCAAGAAAAAATACAATTAACGATTACATGTTAGTCTTATGTAAATCCTCCATCTGAACCAAAAAGCAGAATATCTTTTAAATGGTTGACTTCAAGCAGAAAAACCTGGTAAATAAAGTCACACAGGGCCTATACAACAGGAACAGCCTGTACTTAGATCAGAACTAACCTACATCGTGCTTACTGGACTTGAGCCCACTGTTAATTTATTTTTGCTATTTCAAAAGACCCAGGCAGATAGCTGCCTCAGGGAATATACAAAAGTATAAAATTTTCATGTCTGTTGAAACATCTGGAAGCCATACTTAGTCATACCCAGGAAAGTATTTAGTCCTCATTTGATGGAACCATTTTCACTTGAAGTTACCAAAAATGAGAGTAAAAATAGATGACAAGTGGAAACAAATCTTATCTAATTGGAGTGGTAGCCAGAACTCCAAATTAGCTCACCACTAACCAACTGCATGGCTTTGGAAATCTTAGTTAATCTTTCTGGCCCCATCTTCCGTATGTGTTGTAACAAGTAGAGTGTGGATCTGTAACCCATTACAAGGACAAACACTTCTCTCTGTAAGGGGAGGGAAGCCCAATCTTCCCTCACCCAATCTGTCACATAAATACTTCATAACCCAACTTACATAAAATACTCAAAAGCCAACATGTCTAATCCCTACACTTACAGTACCAAGAGCAGCTTCTTAGAAAATTTTTAAAAAAATAAATCCTAAAGATATCTATTTAAATCCTTTTATTTTAAAATTTTTCTGTGAGTATGAATAAAGGCAGAAATATAAACAAGATTTTCTCTCCAAAATCTACTCCACCTGATTCATTATCAGTTATCTCTCCTGATTAATTATCAAGAACTGAATGCTAACTACTATAAGGAAGACAAAAAACTCTACAAAGACTCTTGGGTTTGTATTAGTTCTGCATAGTACCTCTATTAGTTATCTATTGCCGCATAACAAATTGTTCCAAACCTTAACCTCCTAAACAATGGACATTTATAATTTCACATCATTTTAGAGTTATTAGAAATTTGGGACTGGCCATAACTGGATCATTCTAACTTGGGGGATCTCTCATCAAGTTGTACTTGAGATGTCATCTAGGACTGAAGTCATCCAAAGATTTTGTTGGGGCTAGGGTTGTCTGCAAGGTGACTGGCTCATATGGCTGAAAAATCAGCACTGCTTGTTGACAGGAAACCTCAGTTCTTTACCAAATGGACATCTCCATAGAACCTCTTGATAGAAGCAATGATGCAAGAGAGACAAGATGAACGTGCAATGTCTTATGCCCTACCATTCAAAGTCACATTCCATCATGTGTTCAATATTCTATTGGTTACAAAGGTCAGCCCTATGATGCAGAAATTACACAAGAACATGAATACCAGGTGAGACTCACTAGGGGCATACTCAAGGACTGGCTTCCACATTTCATTCTCTGGAACCCAGTAATCCATGTGTTGCCCAGATGTGTTGCCTCCTAAGGTGCCCAAAATTCTCATCTCTTTACAAGATGAGTTCAAAGTCCAGAACCTTATTATCTAAGTCAGATTCAGGTGTGCAGCAGAGTTCCTGAGGTATTTATTATTCCTTAAGTACAGATCTTGAGTTTCTCTCAACAGGACTGTCAATAAACAAAAAGGAAATTGCTTATCCTCCCCTATTCTCTGTATACAATGATGGGACAGGTGTGCTACCCTCAGGATAGATAGTCCATTTTAAAGTATGGAGAAATGAAAGACACACCTGAGCCACTAATCCAACAAGAATTCACAAATTCCACAATGCACAGGCTGGAAGTTCCTTTATTAGGACACAGACCAGGGTCTTGCAGAGTCCATGGGTTTTGGCTCCACACTCAAGAGTCATCATTCCACCCTAAAAATCATCTTCCCTTTTCCTTGGAAAGTAGCTTGAATTTGCAGCTGTGTAGCTTTCTCAGTCTACTTCTTATCTTTCCCACAGAGATTTGGGGGAATCAAAGGAGTTTTAATTTTATAATCCTGTCTCTTTCAGTCTAAGTTGGCAGTGTTTCTGCAAATACAATTCTCTCAAAGATCCTATAGATCTTCTGTGAATCTTACTAGACTTCACTTCATTAGACAAATGCCTCACTCACTCATGAATCTCTGGAGAAGAAGCCCTTCTCTACCTGGTCTTCTGAGAAGATGAAGGGACAATACCCTGAAGCTTCTGCTGGGTTGGACAGATCTTCCAGGCACCACCTTGGATCTTTCTAGGAAGCTACTTGGATCTTTCTAGGATTTTACAACCACACCCTCAATTTCATCTTTAGAACTTGTTTTCCTGCCAATGCTCTGAATTTGATCTATGTCTGAAAACTATTTCTCAATTCCAGCAACATTTACTGACTTAAAGAGTCTGATATCAATACCATCAATTCCTGTGTCCTTCCTGTTTATCAGTCTATTCTATGTCCACTTAGAAGACTGAACCAGTTAGACCCATTTCTGCAAAAGTTTCCTGAGTACACAAGATCAAGGACTGTTTTGAGTATTATCTAGAAATTCTCCCCATCAATCAACCAAATATACTTCTCATGATTATTTAGGCCTGCAATTCCCAGAAAAGGCCTGTGTCTACTTTACGCAAAAAATTTTCAATACAGAGACTGTTAACCCCTTTGAACCTGAGGACATGATATAGATCAATTTAACCTGAGGCCAAGAGACCTGGTGATTCCAATTTCTTTCCTTTCCTCTTTGTGATGCATCACCCAAGCCACTGCCTCTTGCCCTGGAATTGACAGTGCTAAAATTCTTAGCAGTTAAATGTCAGCAATCAAGAGGTTGTAGATAACCTTTGATGYAGAGAAATTCAACTGAGTCCATATAGCAGTTATGCATCAGCAATCAAGAGGTTGTAGATACCCTCTGAAGCAGAGAAATTCAACTGAGTCCATATCTTAAAATAATGGTTTGCAGACACTGGACCCAATTAGCCACATCAAAACACGAGAGGGGGCTATGCAGTCACCCCCCAGGTAAGGCTGATGATATACAACTGCAGTACTAGCACCTGCAACTGAATGCCAAGTCCACAGAACAGAAGCACTGGCCTCACCTGGGAGCTATTA